CCCGCCTCGGCCTCCCAGAGTGCTCGGATTACAGGCGTGAGCCACCGCACCCGGCCTGGAGCTTTAAATTTTTAACACTAGTCATTTTTGTGTGGTTTGAATTTTTATAAAAATATGTGCTTGACTTTTTATAAATAGAAAAAATAAAGACTTAAAAAAGACAAAACCTCCATTGGTCTAGCCTAGTCCTCCCCACCTTAGAGGTGGGAAAACTGAGGTGCTCTCTGAAAGCAGTGCGTTGCTGGGCAGGCGTTATTCTGCAAGTGGAGCCACCGGGGCAGCCTGGTGGCCCTGGGCATGTTCTTCCTGAGGTGTCCTGGCCCGCTTGCTTCCGGGCGGCTGAGGACCGAGTATGTACACACAGCAGAGCGCAGAGGGCATCCTGCTCTCCTGTACTATTCTGTCCTTACAACGCGTGTGACCATGAGCAAATCACAAAATTCTCAGAGAGCCCCAGATTCCTCACCTGCTTCCCAGGGAGGCTGAGAAACTCTACAGGGGTCATGGGTGAGAAGAGCTTTGTCACCGCGCAGAGACACATACAAAAACAGCCAGGAGTACTCTTGATTTGATTGTTATTACCTGGAACCTGGAAACTTTTATATTAGTTTCCTCTCTGATTTGAGAGGAAAAGAAGTGCGTTCCTTGTGAGGGGGAAATGTGGGACCCTGTGCCCAGGAGGGGTTGCTGCAGAGACTGCAAAGTGCTTGCTGGAGCCTCAGCTCTTCTGGGTCTGAGAGCCTGGGAGAACCGTGGGGGCCCAGAGAGTGCTTCCTTGGTAGGCCTCCTTTGACTCTCATGCCTCGAGAGATCAAAAGAAAAGCCGGGAGTCAGACCAGCCTGGGTTCCCAGAATTGATCTGGTGCCAGTGGAACCTTCTGGAGAGGGGTCCTGATGTGAATTACGGGGAGCATTTGTTTTTTACTAGCAGCTGCAGAGAGGGCTTGCAAGCCCTATGTAACCTCAGTGAATGAGGATGGGTGGGTGTCCCTTGGGCAGTGAAACCAGGCTGCCAAACCTGCCTGGATTCTTCTCCTGTTACTTAAACTGGATTCCACAGACCCCATGACTTCAAGGGGTCAGGCCCATGACCCCTTTGACATTGAAAGCAAAATTATGAATGTATCTGCTTCATGAAGGTTTATGTGAACACAGTTTCTGGACAGAGGGTGTACAACCTTCACTAGAATTTCAGAGGAGTCATGATCCAAAATAGGCTAAGACTGCTGGTCTAATTCACCCTTGTGTATCTTCCTTCATCTCTGCAGGTGGAAAGCAGCGACACGCCGAAGGACACTGCAGTGACCTCCAAGTCCCCATCCACAGCCCAGGACTCAGGCTGCTCCGAACTGTTGCCCAATGGGGACTTGGAGAAGCGGAGTGAGCCCCAGCCAGAAGAGGGGAGCCCTGCTGGGGGGCAGAAGGGCGGGGCCCCAGCAGAGGGAGAGGGTGCAGCTGAGACCCCGCCTGAAGCCTCCAGAGCAGTGGAAAATGGCTGCTGCACCCCCAAGGAGGGCCGAGGAGCCCCTGCAGAAGAGGGTGAGTCCCCAGCACAAGGGGCAGCCTCTTCTGGGCCCACCGGGATTCCCTGAGGGTTAGAGATTTGGTTCTCTGGCAGGTCCCAGGAGGGATGGGCCAGGTGGTAGCTGAAGGTCGGCCTGCCAAGCCTATGGCATGGAAGCTACTGGCTGAATGCAGCCGGCACACGTTTTATTTGGCTCATGTAGTGTTTTAAACATTTAAAAAATTAGTTGCCAGTATTTAAAAATCAAAAAATTTCACATAAAAATCTGGAGTTTTGGCTTCTCTTGAAAAAAAAAAAAAGCTAGATCTGGCAACAGTGGGCTTGCATAGTGCCAATGGTTGCTAGACTGGGATGATCACAGGTCCTGTCCACGGCTTGTTGTGCCCCCCAATTCCCTCAGCCACCACCTGGCCTGCTTACTCTTCCACGTGACCAGCAGCTCTTGGGGACTGCTGTGTTTGTAGCCCCAGCCTGGGCACTCGAGGGCAGCAGATGCCCTGTGTGCCTCCCCCAGTGCAGAGGTCCTGAGCCCACCATAGTTTGGTTGACTCCACTGGAAACTTGGTTGTGACAGTGGGCCATGGGGGGCAGGTTGTGTTGGGGGTGGTCTGTGCACTGCCCAGCCCAGGCCTCTTCATCTGGGGACTTTTTGGCCTAGCCCTGGAATCCTGGAAAGTTGCCCACTTTTCTCTTTTAGGTTAAGCCAGCAATTTCAGGGCCAACCGAGCTGTAAACATGTTAGTAATGAGGACAACTAGCATTTGTACAGGGCTTCACAGTTTACAAAGCGCTTTCTCATACATTATCACATTTGATCCTCCCAGGGCCCTGCCAGGTTGTTTTGCATATGTGCATTTTAATTTCAAAAAGTCTTCCTTCCAAGTGTGTATGATGGAATGAGTAAATTGATTAATTGGCGTGACTTATTTTGCATGGATCCAAACCTAATATTCATGCAGGATAGAGAACATTTCCAAAAAAGAGATTTCCAAACCTATTAAAAAGCTTTCACTCATTTATTATTCAACAAATATTTATGATGCTCCCACTATGGGCAGAGCACTTTCTGAGGCATTTTGCATTTGTTATTTTATTTATTCCTCCAAACAATTTATTCAAGAGGCATTTTTATCCCCATTTTAAGGAGAAAATATTGAGGCTTAAGGAGATGAAGTGACTTACCCATGGACCCCAATCTTAAGTGGCAGATCCAGGACTTATTAAATCTTGATCACGTGCCTTCCCCCTATCCTCTGCTGTTCTGGAATGGGGCTTGGTGCTGAGATGGTTCCTGAACTGTCCAGGCCTCCTTGCATGTATTCTGACCCTTTGTGGCAGTGTGGGAAGGGCCTGAGTGGAATGAAACAGAGGAGGAAAGGGAGAAGTCACCATCCCTCCAGCTGACAATGCCGGGTGTGCAAGGGGACCCCATCAGCCCTTCCTAGCCAAACGTGGTGCCTCCTCACGGGCCAGTCTCAGTTGACTTCCAGGTTCCTGGGATCCCACCACGGCTGGTGCCAAGCTGCTGCCCGAGGCCTTCCTGCCTTGTGGGATAGAACCATGGCTCTAAGACTGCTCTTTAGCCTTGAAGGTCTGTTTTCAGTTTGAGATTCCCCTGTCTCCACTTCTAGTTGTTCTCAGGAGCTCCTGCTTCGGTCAATCAACAGGTACTTATTAAACACCCGTTTCGTGTGTGCTAGGATCTCTACCAGGTACTGGGGAAACCATCATGAACAAAAACGCAGTTCCTGCCCTCAAGGACCTCAGTTGGCTCGGAAGACAGACATTAATGAGAAATCCACACTTCAAAAAATGTGTGATTATATGTGGAGATAGGCGCTCTAAGGGAAATGAAACATGGTTCCATGAGGCCTATAACAAAGGAACCTGGGCTGGCGTGAGCTGTTATGCCTAAGCTGAAGAATGAGCTAGTCCATCGGGGGAGGGGAGTGGAGGGAGACAGTGAGAACAGGTATGAAGGCTCCCAGGTAGGAGGGAGCAGGGCACCCAGGGACCTGGCAGAAGCCACAGAGCCAGAGTGGAGAGAGCTAGGGAGAAGGGTGTGGGAAGCCATGTGGGCAGACGGGCCAGACCAGGCCTTCGAGGCTGCCTTCTCAGGGGTGACATGATCACCTTTGCTATTTGAAAAGATCACTGTGTCGTCTGCATCCTGAAATGGAACAGAGGGGCAAGGAAGCAGGATGAGAGGTTGGGAGGCTGCTGCTGGTGTCAGAGGGGAGGGGAGGTGGCTCTGATGAGTGAGGTGGCAGCAGAGATGGAGAGAGGTGACAAATGCCAGGGATATGAGAGGGAAGGGAAAGATGGTATCAAGGATGATTCCTGGGTATGGGACTTTCAGACATCAGGTGGATCTTCCTCAGAATCTGAGGGCTGAGCATGGCAGGCAGAAATGCTCCAAGTCTTGGCCTCCAGAATTTGGCATGGGGCACTCCTGTGTGGCCCCGGAGTGACCCAGGAAGTGGAGATGCTAACAGGGATCAGAGTTGGTGGGATCCCTGAAGCCCACTGTGAATGGCCCAGATGCTGAGATTAGTGAGGTGTGTCCTAGAGGGGTGGGCAGTGGCCTACCGGAGGCTCTGCCAGGGTGTGGCAGGCAGTGGCGTGATCCGGGGTGGAGGCTCCTGCAGTCAGCTGACAGAGAACCCAGGCTCAGCTGGTCATTCAGATGAGGAAGGAGACTGAGGCCCCAGGGAGGATGTGGCTTGGCCGTGGTCTTCTTTCAGTTCCCCTCATTCCAGGTCTCTTCTCAGGGGGCCCTGTCCGTCTCTCCTGGAACCCCTCTGGTTAGTTCATATGTCGTAAAAACACAGGACTTTAAGGCAGCGTGCCTGTGGCCTGGGCACCCTCCCATGTGCACGTAGGAGGCCCAGATGCTGCTAGTACAGCCAGGGAAAGAATCAGGAAGAGGGGAGATGGTGAAATGAGCCATAAGAACAAGAGCCAGCACCTGGACAGGCCACCGCTTGCCTTGGGACTGCTCCTGCATGCCCCACATTAACACTGTAACGATGGTGACTGTAGCGATGGTGACGTAGCTGTCCTCTACTGAATGTCCGCTGTATTGGGTGTTCTCAATCCTCCATGCTCACAGCGGGCCACAGACCACTGCCAGCGGCCTCATTGCCTGGGAAGTTAGAAAAAGCAGAATCGAATTGCATGTCCCACCCTAGACCTACTGAATCAGAAGCTACGTCACAAAGCGCTTCTCACGATTTCCACACACATGAAAGGTGAAGGAGCCCTGCTCTGCATGTACTCTGATTTCATCCTTGTGATCCAGCGAGGAAGACCCTTATCCCCATCTTTCAGATTGGGAGACTGGGAGTTCAGAAAGGTTACTTATCCAAGATTATACAACTAGTAAAGCCCCCTCTGCTTGAATTGAGCTTGGGGCCCAGAATCAGGCCAGCGATTGCCCTCTGAGGCAGACCTGGCCTCAGCCCTGCCATGGAGATTTGGGTTCACTGTGATGAGAACTTGGGTGGCCCCTGGCTGAGCACAATCTCAGACCTAGAGGTAAATGTCAGAGCACTCTGGCCTCCCCACCCCTTCCCCATGACCTGAGATGCCCTAGGGTCATGTTCAGGCCTGCCAGGGCCACCCTGCAAGGCACACAGCCACCTGGACCTGCCCTTGGCCCTGCGTCTGGGCCAGGAGCAGTTGGGCTGCATGGGTGTACTGAGAGAGCAGCTGACCCTCCCTGACTCACGACAAGTGGCGCATTCTGAAGCAGCGGGCCAGGCTGGAAGGCGTGTGTGCGTGTGTGCGTGTGTGTGTGTGTGTGTGTGTGTGTGTGAGAGAGAGAGAGAGAGAGAGAGAGAGATCACTGAAGTGGGCATGCGCAGAGTCTGTTAGGGAGAAAATTCCAGAAAGAAGCCGGTTGGAAACTGCATAAGGAAAAGCCATTCTGTTTTGGGGAGCTTGGGGAATCAGGAAAGGGGCAGGTCAAGGAATAACGGTGGTGGTGCACGGGAGAGGGAGCTGGCTGGGGTATCAGGGGCCCTGAAAGCTCATCTCAGCTCTGGCCGGAAGTCACTCCACTCCCCAGGCCTCAATTTCCTCTTCTGCAGAATTTAGGGTCTGGACGAGTCCTCAAATCATCTCACAATTCCTCTCAGCCTTGATTTTCTTCTAGTGAATAAGCGATTCCCCGTAAATGTAATCCAGTGCCGTGGAAGGTCCCAGGTGGGAACCGTGTGCGGGCCAAAGGAGGCTGGGGAGACGATGCTGTCTGGGGCCGCCACTCGGTCGGGAGCGGCGCGGGGTCCCCCACTCCCAGCCCCCGGCGCAGGCTGACGCAGCTGCTCCCGGCGCCCCCTCCTGGCCGCCCGCAGGCTCTCGGGGCCGAGCGTGGAGGTCCGAGAGGAGGCGGCGGCCGGGCCTTGGGGCGGGGGTTTGCGAGAAAGGTGGGGAGCTGGCTGTGGGGGAAGAGGCCGGAAAGGAAGCAGGGAGGGGGAGACGGACGTGACGGTGCGACACACCTTAAAAGGCCGGTCACGTACAAAGCACTGGCAAGTACACGTTCTCACCCACCCACACAGGTGCCCGCGACAGACGCACCGTGTCCCGCCCCCACGGCCGCCCGCGTGACATGCCCGACGCCAGGGCCCCGAGCCGCGGGGCGGCCCTTCCTGCCTCCCTCCCCAGTGCTATCACCCGGGACACAGCCACTGAGGACCGAGCTGTGCGGGCCCGGGGCTGAGCGGGCAGAGCCCCGGACTTTCTGGTGAGCGGGAGGGCAACATCCTCCCGGCTGAGCATCCAGAGGCCATGACTGCCGGGCTGGCTTCCGCTCAGAGCCAGGAGACGAAGTAGGGGCTGTTTTTTCCGTTTGGGGCCTTTGGTCTCCCCCCACCCCAAGCTACCAGGAGCCAGCCTTGGTGTCCTTCCTGCTTTGGGCCCAAGCTCAG